AAAAATTTCAAAAATCAAAAAAACTGTCAAAAGTGTCAAATGTGTAATTAAATTGTTAAACTTTTTTTTGACAATTAAATTTGTGACATTTCTGACAGTTTTTTTTTCTATTCATTGACATTTTCAAGTTTTTTAAATTTTTTGATATTTTTACAGTTTTTTTCATTTATGACATTTTTGACAGTTTCTTTTATTCATAGATATTTTTGACAATTTTTCATTTATTATCATTTTTGACATATGAAAAAAATTGTTCAAGATCTCAACATACATAAAAAACTGTCAGAACTGTCAAAAAATAAAAAAAACTCAAAAATTTCGAAAAATAACAAAAACTGTCAATAAATAAAAAATTTCAAAAATGTCAATAAACGAAAAAATTGTCAAATATCAACTAATCAAACAATTGTCAAATGTCAACAAAAAATTGTCAAATGTTAAAAAACAAAATAACTATCAATTGTCAATTGATGAAACAATTTTCAGATGTCAATTAATGACACAATTGTCAAATGTCAATTAACAAATCAAATATCAACAAATGAAACAATTGTCAAAAATGTCATGTGTCAATAAACATAGCCATTGTCAAATGTCAATAAACTAAATAGCTATCAATTGTCAAAATGTAAATAAATGAAAAAAACTGTCAAAAATGCCAATCAATAAAAAAAGTTATAAGAAGTATCAATGCCTCTCAAATATGTCGATAAATAAAAAAAAAACTGTCAGAAGTGTCAATAAATAGAAAAAATTGTCAAAAATGTCAATAAATGAAAAATTGTCAAAAATGTCAATAAATAAAAAATTGTCTAAAATGTCGATAATAAATTTTCAAAAATGTCAATTAACATAAAAACTATCAAAATTATTTTCAAATGTTAATAAATGGAACAACTGTCAAATGTCATTAAACAAAATAATTAAACAAATGTCAAATGTCTACGAACAGAACAATTATGAATTGTCAAAACTGAAAACTGTCGATAAACAAAGCAATTGTCAAATGTTAACTGGTGAAATAATTGTCAAATGTTAACAAAAAACTGTCAAATGTCAAAAAACAAAATAATTATTAATTGTCAACTAATGGAACAATTATTGTCAAATGTCAACTAATGAAACAATTGTAAAATCTCAATTAACAAAACAATTGTCAAATGTTAACAAATGTAATTAAATGAAAAAACTATCAAAATGGCCAATCAATAAAAAAAGTTATCAGAAGTGTCAATAAATGAAATACCTGTCAAATATTTTGATGAATAAAGAAACTGTCATAAGTGTCAATAAATAGAAAAAAAACTGTCAAATATATCAAAAAATAAAAAAAATGTCTAAAATGTCAATAAATAAACTCTCAAAATTGTTAAATATCAACATAGAAAATAAATTGTCAAAACTCAAAACTGTTAAAAATTTCAAAAATCAAAAAAACTGTCAAAAGTGTCAAATGTGTAATTAAATTGTTAAACTTTTTTTTGACAATTCAATTTGTGACATTTCTGACAGTTTTTTTTTCTATTCATTGACATTTTCAAGTTTTTCAAATTTTTTGATATTTTTACAGTTTTTTTCATTTATGACATTTTTGACAGTTTCTTTTATTCATAGATATTTTTGACAATTTTTCATTTATTATCATTTTTGACATATGAAAAAAATTGTTCAAGATCTCAACATACATAAAAAACTGTCAGAATTGTCAAAAAATAAAAAAAACTCAAAAATTTCGAAAAATAAAAAAAACTGTCAATAAATAAAAAATTTCAAAAATGTCAATAAACGAAACAATTGTCAAATATCAACTAATCAAACAATTGTCAAATGTCAACAAAAAATTGTCAAATGTTAAAAAACAAAATAACTATCAATTGTCAATTGATGAAACAATTTTCAGATGTCAATTAATGACACAATTGTCAAATGTCAATTAACAAATCAAATATCAACACATGAAACAATTGTCAAAAATGTCATGTGTCAATAAACATAGCCATTGTCAAATGTCAATAAACTAAATAGCTATAAATTGTCGAAATGTAAATAAATGAAAAAAACTGTCAAAAATGCCAATCAATAAAAAAAGTTATAAGAAGTGTCAATGAATGAATTACCTCTCAAATATGTCGATAAATAAAAAAAAAACTGTCAGAAGTGTCAATAAATAGAAAAAATTGTCAAAAATGTCAATAAATGAAAAATTGTCAAAAATGTCAATAAATGAAAAAATTGTCTAAAATGTCGATAATAAACTTTCAAAAATGTCAATTAACATAAAAACTATCAAAATTATTTTCAAATATTAATAAATGGAACAACTGTCAAATGTCATTAAACAAAATAATTAAACAAATGTCAAATGTCTACGAACAGAACAATTATGAATTGTCAAAACTGAAAACTGTCGATAAACAAAGCAATTGTCAAATGTTAACTGGTGAAATAATTGTCAAATGTTAACAAAAAACTGTCAAAAGTGTCAAATGTCAACAAATAGAAAAAAACTGTAATTAAATTGTTAAACTTTTTTTTGACAATTAAATTTGTGACATTTCTGACAGTTTTTTTTTTATTCATTGACATTTTCAAGTTTTTTAAATTTTTTGATATTTTTACAGTTTTTTTCATTTATGACATTTTTGACAGTTTCTTTTATTCATAGATATTTTTGACAATTTTTCATTTATTATCATTTTTGACATATGAAAAAAATTGTTCAAGATCTCAACATGTCAGAACTGTCAAAAAATAAAAAAAACTCAAAAATTTCGAAAAATAAAAAAAACTGTCAATAAATAAAAAATTTCAAAAATGTCAATAAACGAAACAATTGTCAAATATCAACTAATCAAATAATTGTCAAATGTCAACAAAAAATTGTCAAATGTTAAAAAACAAAATAACTATCAATTGTCAATTGATGAAACAATTTTCAGATGTCAATTAATGACACAATTGTCAAATGTCAATTAACAAATCAAATATCAACAAATGAAACAATTGACAAAAATGTCATGTGTCAATAAACATAGCCATTGTCAAATGTCAATAAACTAAATAGCTATCAATTGTCAAAATGTAAATAAATAAAAAAAACTGTCAAAAATACCAATTGATAGAAAAACTGTTAGAAGTGTCAATAAATATTAAAAAATGAAAAATTGTCAAAAATGTCATTAAATCATAAAACTGTCTAAAATAGCCATGGACAAACTTTCAGAATCAAAATTATTGTCAAATGTCAATAAACGGAACAATTGTCAAATGTTATTAAACAAAATAACTGTCAAATATCAACAAACAATACAATTATGAATTGTCAAAATTAACTACCAACTGTCAAAAATGTCGATGAACAAAAAATACTGTCAGAAAAAATAAGAAATGAGAAAAACTGTCAAAACTTTTGATGAATATAAAAACTGGCAATAATATCAATGTCAAAAATGTCAATAAAAAAAGAAAAAAATGTCAAAAATGTTAATAAATAAAAGAAACTGTCGTAAATTTTCCAACGAGTTTTTAAAAAGTTTCAATGAGTTTTTATGATGTTCCAACGATTTTCCAGTGTTTCAACAAAAATTGTTGGAATGTGTTTAGTGACTTTGAAGCCTTGTAGCTCCGAAACTATTGAAGCTACAACAAAACCGTAAAATAGAGATTTGTAGAGAATTCAATTTGCTTCATTTTAAGCTTAATGACGTCACAATCCGACCAAAAATAACGACGCTATAAGCCAAAAACTTTTTTTTTTCCAGAAAAAATGAGATGAAAATCGCGACAGGAAAAGTGCGCCTATGATTGTACAAAAAAAATAGGTTTTATATAGTAAATTCCACAGAAATCTGAATCAAAAAGATAAAATTGCGCAACACAAAAACCCGATATCTATACCTATACAAACAAAGACACAAAATTACTTATTATTCTAAAATCCTGGTACGAACATAAATTACCCGGCTTTTAAAATAACTACTTTAGCAATGACATTTAACAACAACTGTGCACTTTCATATTGACCACGTTTTTGTAATATCTTTCTTATATACCAATCTTTATAAATATGACATTTTCAACTTGGATATTATTGAACTGAAAATATAAAAGGATTGAGAGTGGAAAAACACATATATGTAAATCTAGAAGATGTTTAACGGAATAAGACACCAACGGAATGCCAAATAACCGATAACTTGTATAGTTTTAGCACGCACTTTAAGCCATAATACTGTTACTGATGCTTAGAATTTGTATATAACTACTTGGCCGGATTATTGCCCAGACTTAAGACCATTGGATTTGAAAATGTTATTAGTTTAAAATGGATTTGTTCAAATTGCCATTGGGTTATTTGTTTATAAATGTTCAAATAGCCGCCAAGATTGCCGGACTTTAGGTTATCTGATTAAAAATGCAATAATTAGAAGAAATGAGAATTGTTCAAAGAGGCCGTTAAATCTTTTGAGAGGCAGCAAAGGCGATAAATTAAAAGTTAAATACTTTCTCTTTTGTAATTGCTTATATACAGGGGGAGTTTAAGAGTTTTACTTTTTCCTAAAAGTTCAATCCATTTATCAATAATAATTTTCAGACAATCATTCAACACCTGAAAAGTACAAATCCGCAATCGGCATGGGGTTGTTTTAAAAACTTGTAAAAGGAACCCCGTTGTGCTTATGCTTTTTTGCTCTGTCATCTTTTTTATAAAGGTGTCGACACATTTTATGTACCTACGCCTTTGTCTTGTCATTGTATATTAACGTATATATATATATAAATTTTTTTTACATAATAAAATCCTATAGGTAGCAAATAAAGCAATCTTCCAACTAGATCTAATGGGTAAATTGATCTAGGTAGGTATATATACGATTTCTCTTTTTCAGATGCTCGTAACTTGGGCTTGATCTATATTACAAATCTTGCGATACCTTATTTAGGTCAAACGATAAAAACTAATGTCTGCGACAATTTTCTCAATTAGTGTATATTGACCTTCAATAGTTTTTTACTATAATTAAAATTATAACTATTATTAGTTCAATGATTAAGGTGTTTTTGGGGGTTTTTGATGGGCAATCGTCCAGTTCGTTTGCTTCTTCAGCAGGGATTTCGTCTTTGAATTCGGTTTTCTTGTAAATTTTACAAAAGAATCCGTTGGCCATTAGCATGGTGTTTTCGCGAAATAAATCCACACAAAATCTATAATTATTTCAATAATAATTGATGCTCAAAAATTAATTTGCTCACCCTGTAGGCCCCAACTTTTCAGCCTCTTTTCTAGAATGTTTCCTAATAATTTTACCATCATTTTCCAAAAAAATCCTATCAACCCCCACTGTATAAGGATGCAAGGCCTTATGAAATTCACAGGCCGGTTCTCTATTGAAAACCAAAAAATAATCAGACAAATTTTCAATATTATTGTCTTCATTTATAAAGGCAATATCGATATTTTTGTCTCTTTCTAATTTAAACATTGAAGAACATTTTTCCATTTGCGCATCGTATACTTTGTTGAAAGGGCAACATTTTTGCAGGCAAGTTTGGTTGTGGCAAAGCGAAAACATTGCGGCAAATTTACTACAAAAAAAAATTTCTATAGGTTTTAGGGCCGATTTATTCACCTTCAGGTAATGTTATCTGACGGATAAAGATGCAATCTGTAATCCCATTGGTCGACAAGTTACACACGGAATTTTAAAATTACACGTTTCAGGTGTATATTGGTGAGTAGATGGCTTTAAAGGTAAAGGCTGTAGGTTGGGTGTCAATATACAAAAAAACACCCTGTACAAATAAGTGGATTATTGCGGAACTTATGGGTGGACCTCTGCGGGACGAGCGCAGCGAGTTCCGCAGCCATCTACTCACCAATATGTTGTTCAAGTAAAATACTAATTTGACTCACTCAAACGTGAGTTGCCTTACTTAAACAGTTCACCAATATATTGGTGAGTAGATGGCTGCGGAACTCGCTGCGCTCGTCCCGCAGAGGTCCACCCATAAGTTCCGCAACAATTCACTCATTTGTACTTAAATAACTTGTCACATTATGTTACTAGTTAAGTAAAGTAACATTACTAATTGCTGTTAAAATGTAAATTCACAAAAAGTGGATAATCTTCCAAATTTTGACTTTATATAATAAGTTATTATTCAAATACAACTAAGTGGATTATTGCGGAACTTTTGGGTGGACCTCTGCGGGACGAGCGCAGCGAGTTCCGCAGCCATCTACTCACCAATATGTTGTTTTTTAATTATGATACTAACCTGATTCACTCAAATGTGAGTTATCCTTATTAGCCTCAAAATTACACATTCCAAATGAATGTCTTATTTGAATAGTTCAACAGTATATTGGTGAGTAGATGGCTGCGGAACTCGCTGCGCTCGTCCCGCAGAGGTCCACCCATAAGTTCCGCAATAATCCACTCATTTGTACTTAAATAACTTGTCACATTATGTTACTAGTTAAGTAAAGTAACATTACTAATTGCTGTTAAAATGTAAATTCACAAAAAGTGGATAATCTTACAAATTTTGACTTTATATAATAAGTTATTGTTCAAATACAAATAAGTGTATTATTGCGGAACTTATAGGTGGACCTCTGCGGGACGAGCGCAGCGAGTTCCGCAGCCATCTACTCACCAATATGTTGTTTTTTAATTATGATACTAACCTGATTCACTCAAATGTGAGTTATCCTTATTAGCCTCAAAATTACACATTCCAAATGAATGTCTTATTTGAATAGTTCAACAGTATATTGGTGAGTAGATGGCTGCGGAACTCGCTGCGCTCGTCCCGCAGAGGTCCACCCATAAGTTCCGCAATAATCCACTCATTTGTACTTAAATAACTTGTCACATTATGTTACTAGTTAAGTAAAGTAACATTACTAATTGCTGTTAAAATGTAAATTCACAAAAAGTGGATAATCTTACAAATTTTGACTTTATATAATAAGTTATTGTTCAAATACAAATAAGTGTATTATTGCGGAACTTATAGGTGGACCTCTGCGGGACGAGCGCAGCGAGTTCCGCAGCCATCTACTCACCAATATGTTGTTTTTTAATTATGATACTAACCTGATTCACTCAAATGTGAGTTATCCTTATTAGCCTCAAAATTACACATTCCAAATGAATGTCTTATTTGAATAGTTCAACAGTATATTGGTGAGTAGATGGCTGCGGAACTCGCTGCGCTCGTCCCGCAGAGGTCCACCCATAAGTTCCGCAACAATTCACTCATTTGTACTTAAATAACTTGTCACATTATGTTACTAGTTAAGTAAAGTAACATTACTAATTGCTGTTAAAATGTAAATTCACAAAAAGTGGATAATCTTCCAAATTTTGACTTTATATAATAAGTTATTATTCAAATACAACTAAGTGGATTATTGCGGAACTTTTGGGTGGACCTCTGCGGGACGAGCGCAGCGAGTTCCGCAGCCATCTACTCACCAATATGTTGTTTTTTAATTATGATACTAACCTGATTCACTCAAATGTGAGTTATCCTTATTAGCCTCAAAATTACACATTCCAAATGAATGTCTTATTTGAATAGTTCAACAGTATATTGGTGAGTAGATGGCTGCGGAACTCGCTGCGCTCGTCCCGCAGAGGTCCACCCATAAGTTCCGCAACAATTCACTCATTTGTACTTAAATAACTTGTCACATTATGTTACTAGTTAAGTAAAGTAACATTACTAATTGCTGTTAAAATGTAAATTCACAAAAAGTGGATAATCTTACAAATTTTGACTTTATATAATAAGTTATTGTTCAAATACAAATAAGTGTATTATTGCGGAACTTATAGGTGGACCTCTGCGGGACGAGCGCAGCGAGTTCCGCAGCCATCTACTCACCAATATGTTGTTTTTTAATTATGATACTAACCTGATTCACTCAAATGTGAGTTATCCTTATTAGCCTCAAAATTACACATTCCAAATGAATGTCTTATTTGAATAGTTCAACAGTATATTGGTGAGTAGATGGCTGCGGAACTCGCTGCGCTCGTCCCGCAGAGGTCCACCCATAAGTTCCGCAACAATTCACTCATTTGTACTTAAATAACTTGTCACATTATGTTACTAGTTAAGTAAAGTAACATTACTAATTGCTGTTAAAATGTAAATTCACAAAAAGTGGATAATCTTCCAAATTTTGACTTTATATAATAAGTTATTATTCAAATACAACTAAGTGGATTATTGCGGAACTTTTGGGTGGACCTCTGCGGGACGAGCGCAGCGAGTTCCGCAGCCATCTACTCACCAATATGTTGTTTTTTAATTATGATACTAACCTGATTCACTCAAATGTGAGTTATCCTTATTAGCCTCAAAATTACACATTCCAAATGAATGTCTTATTTGAATAGTTCAACAGTATATTGGTGAGTAGATGGCTGCGGAACTCGCTGCGCTCGTCCCGCAGAGGTCCACCCATAAGTTCCGCAATAATCCACTCATTTGTACTTAAATAACTTGTCACATTATGTTACTAGTTAAGTAAAGTAACATTACTAATTGCTGTTAAAATGTAAATTCACAAAAAGTGGATAATCTTACAAATTTTGACTTTATATAATAAGTTATTGTTCAAATACAAATAAGTGTATTATTGCGGAACTTTTGGGTGGACCTCTGCGGGACGAGCGCAGTGAGTTCCGCAGCCATCTACTCACCAATATGTTGTTTTTTAATTATGATACTAACCTGATTCACTCAAATGTGAGTTATCCTTATTAGCCTCAAAATTACACATTCCAAATGAATGTCTTATTTGAATAGTTCAACAGTATATATGGTGAGTAGATGGCTGCGGAACTCGCTGCGCTCGTCCCGCAGAGGTCCACCCATAAGTTCCGCAATAATCCACTCATTTGTACTTAAATAACTTGTCACATTATGTTACTAGTTAAGTAAAGTAACATTACTAATTGCTGTTAAAATGTAAATTCACAAAAAGTGGATAATCTTACAAATTTTGACTTTATATAATAAGTTATTGTTCAAATACAAATAAGTGTATTATTGCGGAACTTTTGGGTGGACCTCTGCGGGACGAGCGCAGCGAGTTCCGCAGCCATCTACTCACCAATATGTTGTTTTTTAATTATGATACTAACCTGATTCACTCAAAATGTGAGTTATCCTTATTAGCCTCAAAATTACACATTCCAAATGAATGTCTTATTTGAATAGTTCAACAGTATATTGGTGAGTAGATGGCTGCGGAACTCGCTGCGCTCGTCCCGCAGAGGTCCACCCATAAGTTCCGCAACAATTCACTCATTTGTACTTAAATAACTTGTCACATTATGTTACTAGTTAAGTTAAAGTAACATTACTAATTGCTGTTAAAATGTAAATTCACAAAAAGTGGATAATCTTCCAAATTTTGACTTTATATAATAAGTTATTATTCAAATACAACTAAGTGGATTATTGCGGAACTTTTGGGTGGACCTCTGCGGGACGAGCGCAGCGAGTTCCGCAGCCATCTACTCACCAATATGTTGTTTTTTAATTATGATACTAACCTGATTCACTCAAATGTGAGTTATCCTTATTAGCCTCAAAATTACACATTCCAAATGAATGTCTTATTTGAATAGTTCAACAGTATATTGGTGAGTAGATGGCTGCGGAACTCGCTGCGCTCGTCCCGCAGAGGTCCACCCATAAGTTCCGCAACAATTCACTCATTTGTACTTAAATAACTTGTCACATTATGTTACTAGTTAAGTAAAGTAACATTACTAATTGCTGTTAAAATGTAAATTCACAAAAAGTGGATAATCTTCCAAATTTTGACTTTATATAATAAGTTATTATTCAAATACAACTAAGTGGATTATTGCGGAACTTTTGGGTGGACCTCTGCGGGACGAGCGCAGCGAGTTCCGCAGCCATCTACTCACCAATATGTTGGTTAATAATTATGATACTAACCTGATTCACTCAAATGTGAGTTATCCTCATTAGCCTCAAAATTACACATTCCAAATGAATGTCTTATTTGAATAGTTCAACAGTATATTGGTGAGTAGATGGCTGCGGAACTCGCTGCGCTCGTCCCGCAGAGGTCCACCCATAAGTTCCGCAACAATTCACTCATTTGTACTTAAATAACTTGTCACATTATGTTACTAGTTAAGTAAAGTAACATTACTAATTGCTGTTAAAATGTAAATTCACAAAAAGTGGATAATCTTCCAAATTTTGACTTTATATAATAAGTTATTATTCAAATACAAATAAGTGTATTATTGCGGAACTTATAGGTGGACCTCTGCGGGACGAGCGCAGCGAGTTCCGCAGCCATCTACTCACCAATATGTTGTTTTTTAATTATGATACTAACCTGATTCATTCAAATGTGAGTTATCCTTATTAGCCTCAAAATTACACATTCCAAATGAATGTCTTATTTGAATAGTTCAACAGTATATTGGTGAGTAGATGGCTGCGGAACTTCCACCCATAAGTTCCGCAATAATCTACTTATTTGTACTTGAACAATAACTTATTATGTAAAAACAGAATTTGTAAAATTATCCACTTTTTGCCAATTTAAAATTCGAAGTAAAAAAACTAACAGTGGCAACGCTGTAAAACAATATAAATTTCATTTATTTTTACGTTTTTGATAAGTATTAAGCCTCACATGCCTAAAAGCACGAAATTTTTAAATTCGAAGAAAAAAAAAAACCAGTGGCAACGCTGTAAAATTATATAAACGTCACTTAATTTGACGTTTTTGACAATTAAAAAATCGAAAGAGCAGCCTCACAAGCCTATAGCACGAAATTTTAAAATTCCAAGTAAAAAATCTAACAGTGGCAACGCTGTAAAACAATATTTTACGTTTTTGATAACTATTAAGCCTCACATGCCTAAAAGCACGAAATTTTTAAATTCGAAGAAAAAAAAACCCAGTGGCAACGCTGTAAAATTATATAAACGTCACTTAATTTGACGTTTTTGACAATTGAAAAATCGAAACAGTAGCTTCACAAGCCTATAGCACGAAATTTTAAAATTCCAAGTAAAAAAATTAATAGTGGCAACGCTGTAAAACAGTGACAACGCTGTAAAATAATCAAAACTTCACTTATTTTGACGTTTCTGACAATTAAAAAATCAGCCTCACAAGTCTATGACACCCAAATTTTAAAATTCTAAAAAAACATTGGCAACGCTGTAAACCAATTATTTTGACGTTTTTTGACAATTAGTGCATTTCTTAAGCCTTTTAAAAACATTGCAATTAAAAACAAACAACAGGAATCTGTAATTCTTTTCAAATTTAGTTATAGATTACTAGATGGCGCCACTATCAAAAATTTAGGTTTTTACTTAAATTCATTCAAAAAGGATATTTTTATAGGAATCTGTAATTTTTCGATTGCTAGATGGCGCCACTATTATAAAAATTATGCATCCGTTTTTAGACCATTAGAATTATAATTTATCTTACAGATAGTTACCAGCAAGTTTATCCGAAACTGAATAAACCAGGCCTTATTCAAATTAATTTTTACCTTGAAGTCCTATCATGTTGTTTCAATTCGTCAAAACAATAAGTTTCGTTTTTAGATAATTCTATAATGTCTTTAATGCCCAATTCCCTCTTGGCTTTGTTGGCTTGGAATTGCATTATAATGCCGCCATCTTTTAAATTTATTGCTAAAAATAATTAATTTTAATCAGTGGCGCACCCGCTTAAGGCTTCAAAAAAAAAAAATTTTTTGCAGACAAAATTTTTGGCTGCGCTACTGATTTCAATTTATTTTTACGTAAAAATTCTTCCTCGTTGTCTTCTGGCTTATAGCCGCTATATTTCAGCCCTTGGAATTCCGAAAATGGTAATCGATGTTTTACCAAATTAGTCTTTTTTTCGCATTCGAAAAAATCATTTAAATGTTCCGCCACTGGACAGCATTTTGTTAAATATTTGTGGCAAACTATAATGGCAAATCTATAATAATAGAGATGTATTTGTCTCAATAAAAGTAATAAATATTTACTCATAGGCGCCGGAACCATGGGGGCAATGGGGTAAAAAATTTATACATAATGTATAATTATTTTTATTTTTTGAAGCCCCCGAAAATTGCGACGCCTATGGTATTTACCTTTGATTTTCCATTGTATCGAGGCAATAATTATTAAAATAATTAGCCAGGATTATTTTGTTTGCAATTTGTACAAGTTGGTTTTTGCCTGACATGATAAAATGCTTAGGGATTGTGTCGTTTGATAGGATTATTACTGCAATTTATGGATTTTTAATTAAAAAAAAAAAAAATAAGTACGCCCATGGGTTTTGTGACTCCGCCCCTTTATAAAAAAAAACTTTAAATGCAAACCATAGACGTGCAAAGAAATAAGCAAACCATACACGTGCAAAAAGATAATTTTTTAATTGGAAATTTAATTAAATTAGGTACATATCAGTGGCGCCCTAATATTTTTTTTTTATACTTAATTTATTTATTTTTGGATTTTTTTCAATTGAAGTTTCAATGAATATTTTGTGAATTACAACGATGATAATTTGAAAATGGTACGTCTATGAATTTAATGGTTGATTTAATAAAAAATGTCGATATGTGCAAAGCTTCACAAACCATAGACGTGCGTGATATTTTTTTTTTTTTAAATTCTATCCAGGAGAAAATTATGAATTTTTCTAAAAAAAAAAAGAGGAAGATCAGGGGCGTATCATACTAAAATTTCAAATTCTTCCAGTGAAAAATAATACCATTGGAAATTGAAGGAAATCAACTAAATTAGACATAAATGCACCATTTTAAATTTTTTTTGCTGGAAAACTATCCAGGGGAAAATTATGAAATTTTTAAGAGAATAAGAGGAAAGTCAGTGGCGTATCATACTAATATTTCAAATTTTTTTCAGTGAAAAATAACACCATTGGAAATAAAAGAAAATTAATTAAATTAGACATAAATGCACCATTTTTCATTTTTTTTTCTGGAAAACTATCCAAGGGAAACTTATGAAATTTTCTGGAAAAAAAGAGGAAAGACAGGGGCGTATCATACTAAAATTTCAAATTTTTCCAGTGGAAAATAATCCCATTGAAAATTAATGAAAATCAACTAAATTAGACATAAATGCACCATTTTACATTTTTTTTTGCTGAAAAACTATCTAGGGGAAAATTATGAAATTTTTTGGAGAATAAAAGGAAAGTCAGTGGCGTATCATACTAAAATTTCAAATTTTTCCAGTGGAAAATAATCCCATTGGAAATTAATGAAAATCAACTAAATTAGACATAAATGCACCATTTTACATTTTTTTTTCTGGAAAACTATACAAGGGAAACTTATGAAATTTTCTGGAAAAAAAGAGGAAGATCAGGGGCGTATCATACTAAAATTTCAAATTCTTCCAGTGAAAAATAATACCATTGGAAATTGAAGGAAATCAACTAAATTAGACATAAATGCACCATTTTAAATTTTTTTTTGCTGGAAAACTATCCAGGGGAAAATTATGAAATTTTTAAGAGAATAAGAGGAAAGTCAGTGGCGTATCATACTAATATTTCAAATTTTTTCAGTGAAAAATAACACCATTGGAAATAAAAGAAAATTAATTAAATTAGACATAAATGCACCATTTTTCATTTTTTTTTTCTGGAAAACTATCCAAGGGAAACTTATGAAATTTTCTGGAAAAAAAAGAGGAAAGACAGGGGCGTATCATACTAAAATTTCAAATTTTTCCAGTGGAAAATAATCCCATTGAAAATTAATGAAAATCAACTAAATTAGACATAAATGCACCATTTTACATTTTTTTTGCTGAAAAACTATCTAGGGGAAAATTATGAAATTTTTTGGAGAATAAAAGGAAAGTCAGTGGCGTATCATACTAAAATTTCAAATTTTTCCAGTGGAAAATAATCCCATTGGAAATTAATGAAAATCAACTAAATTAGACATAAATGCACCATTTTACATTTTTTTTCTGGAAAACTATACAAGGGAAACTTATGAAATTTTCTGGAAAAAAAGAGGAAAGTCAGGGGCGTATCATACTAAAATTTCAAATTTTTCCAGTGAAAAATAACACCATTGAAAATTAAAGGAAATCAACTAAATTAGACATAAATGCACCATTTTACATTTTTTTTGCTGGAAAACTATCCACAGGAAAATTATGAAATTTTTTGGAGAATAAGAGGAAAGTCAGTGGCGTATTATACAAAAATTTCAAATTTTTCCAGTAAAAAATAACACCATTGCAAATTAAAGGAAATCAACTAAATTAGACATAAATGCACCATTTTACATTTTTTTTGTTGGAAAACTATCCAGGGGAAAATTATGAAATTTTTTTGGAGAATAAGAGGAAAGTCAGGGACGTATCATACTAAAATTTCAAATTTTTCCAGTGAAAAATAACACCATTGCAAATTAAAGGAAATCAACTAAATTAGACATAAATGCACCATTTTACATTTTTTTTGCTGGAAAATTATCTAAGGGAAAATTATGAAATTTTCTGGAAAAAAAGAGGAAGATCAGGGGCGTATCATATTAAAATTTCAAATTTTTCCAGTAAAAAATAACACCATTAGAAATTAGAGGAAATCACCTAAATTAGACATAAATGCACCATTTTACATTTTTTTTGTTGGAAAACTATCCAGGGGAAAATTATGAAATTTTTTGGAGAATAAGAGGAAAGTCAGGGACGTATCATACTAAAATTTCAAATTTTTCCAGTGAAAAATAACACCATTGCAAATTAAAGGAAATCAACTAAATTAGACATAAATGCACCATTTTACATTTTTTTTGTTGGAAAACTATCCAGGGGAAAATTATGAAATTTTTTGGAGAATAAGAGGAAAGTCAGGGACGTATCATACTAAAATTTCAAATTTTTCCAGTGAAAAATAACACCATTGCAAATTAAAGGAAATCAACTAAATTAGACATAAATGCACCATTTTACATTTTTTTTGCTGGAAAATTATCTAAGGGAAAATTATGAAATTTTCTGGAAAAAAAGAGGAAGATCCGGGGCGTATCATATTAAAATTTCAAATTTTTTCCAGTAAAAAATAACACCATTGCAAATTAAAGAAAATCACCTAAATTAGACATAAATGCACCATTTTACATTTTTTTTGCTGGAAAACTATCCACAGGAAAATTATGAAATTTTTTGGAGAATAAGAAGAAAGTCAGTGGCGTATCATACAAAAATTTCAAATTTTTCCAGTAAAAAATAACACCATTGCAAATTAAAGGAAATCAACTAAATTAGACATAAATGCACCATTTTACATTTTTTTTGTTGGAAAACTATCCAGGGGAAAATTATGAAATTTTTTGGAGAATAAGAGGAAAGTCAGGGACGTATCATACTAAAATTTCAAATTTTTCCAGTGAAAAATAACACCATTGCAAATTAAAGGAAATCAACTAAATTAGACATAAATGCACCATTTTACATTTTTTTTTGTTGGAAAACTATCCAGGGGAAAATTATGAAATTTTTTGGAGAATAAGAGGAAAGTCAGGGACGTATCATACTAAAATTTCAAATTTTTTCCAGTGAAAAATAACACCATTGCAAATTAAAGGAAATCAACTAAATTAGACATAAATGCACCATTTTACATTTTTTTTGCTGGAAAATTATCTAAGGGAAAATTATGAAATTTTCTGGAAAAAAAGAGGAAGATCAGGGGCGTATCATAAAAAT